TTAAGAAGAACTGAAATTTGCATATCAGATGCTGTGATACATCTGTAATAAACGCTCTTAATTGTAAAATAATCTTACAATTATTTTTTTTTTTGGCAATTCACACAGCGCTATCTAGACCCAAGTTAAGCTAGCTAGAGCTTGTGTTATGGGTACTAAATAACTGATACATATACATAGATATTTTTTTTTGTAAATACATACATATTATACATAGAAAACACCCAGACCGATACAAACAATCATACTCATGAATACAAATGTTTGTGCCGTGCGAGGAATCGAACCCGCGACCATCGGTCGTAAAGCGGTGTGCTTGACCGCTAGACCACCGAGGTCGTCACAATGTGGTTACAAACCGCTATTGGTCAGACATTGGATACTGGCAATAGGTATATCCTATGTAGGATCATATCTGACGGCCTCGGTGATCTAGTACAACACAATACTTTACGAAGGTCGCAGGTTCGATTCCTCGGACGGTTTTTTTTTCTATTATTTTTTTAGAACTACTATAACGCTATTAGTCGCAGCTGGTCCTTACAGCTTCACCGGACGATACGTCCGTGATGATTTGTTTTCATGGGTTTCAGTGTTCATAAGGTAGTTACTATTTGTATTATAATTAACCGTTGTTGGCCAATAAACGCGTTCCGAGTGAGAGGTGTTTTAATTACTACAGTATATTATGTATGTTTTTACAAAAAAAATATTTTTTATTTGTATCAGTTGTCTAGTATAATACAAGGTCTGATTCGCTTGGGATGCCACTGTGAAAATTGTTTAAAATCGATCCCACGGGCAATTTACTAGTATTCAGTAACAGATGCTTTCAAAATCCCTTTTTATTTGAAAACGTATTTATTGAAAAAGGATAGGTATAATTAAATTAATAATCTGGAGATCTGTAGTGCAGATTTCGACTTAGTTCAGACTCCAGACTATCACAAGAAATAGCTTGTAAGATTAAATACATACTTTTGTTACTTTGTTCAATATTGTAAGTTTCCTTGTGAGCAGTAAATAAAGATTATTATTATTATTATTATGCGCAGTTAAATTACAGATTAATTTCATTTACAGATATAAACACAATACAGAGAAGACACAAGTTGTTTTTCTTCTTTTTTACGTTTCTGGAAGCAGTCGTAGACAGCTAGTTCTACTAAAGAGGAACTCAACTGCCAGTTATTTTAATCCAAAGCGTAACTAGTCAGATATTTTGACAGTATTTGTCGTGTTGCCGGTATGCAACGATTTTAACTGTTTTTAACAAGTTAACTGAGCGTCTGCGACACGCAACGGTACCAAGTGTCACATACTGTCATAGTTGCGTAGTAATTGTGTGACATACACTGATACATATCATAATGAGGCGTCGTTTTGTGTCTGAAGCAATAAAACTGCTGTAGTCAGTTTAAAACAGGAAATAAAAGATTGCTGAGTAATTTTAATGTCTAATTTCCTCTTTTAGCTTTTGCCATGCTAAACGACAGCATATTTGGCGACAGTTGACTGGTAGAAAAAACCATCAGGTTTTAAGTCCGCTATGTATATAGTATTTGAATATATTACAATTATATTGCAGAACATTTAATAAATATTTTTTACAACCCTGATGGCTCAGCGGTAGCGCACTACCTTTCTTTTCTATGTCGCGGATTCGAGTCCCGAATAATAACATGGATACCAGTTCGGTTCAGAGACGTGTTATGAGAATTGTCAATGATCCTGATCTCTCTGGCGGTATCGAACCACTTAGCTTGAAGTGATAATTCGCATCGCTACGGTAATCGTTTACCATCAGGTGGGCCGTATGCTTGTTCGCCACTGCAGTTATGAAAAAAATGAATGAATAGCGTCGTATAAGTTAATACATGCACAACCATTGTCTTGTAATCACTTAGATGCAACGGTGAAAGTGCATTGGTGCCGAGGTCTTACATGCTGTGTAAAAACAGAATCATTGGGGGGAAGAGATTGTTAGTAATGAAAGGTAGTGGCTAGCAAATTTCTTTCTTTCTTCTTTCAAATAGATCCTTTACGAGGTCCTCCTTAGAAGCCATCATGGTTTTTTTGGCATGTACCATAATGGAATAGTGAACTAGAAGTGAATCTAAAATTTACTTAACGGCCTCGGTGGTCTAGCGATTTATCACACCGCTTTATTTCGGATGGTCGCGGATTCGATTCCTCGCACGATGCAAAAATTTGTATCCATGAGTATTGTTTGTATCGGTCTGTATGTTTTCTATGTGTATTATGTAGGCATTTACAAAAAATCTAAGTACTTATCAGTTGTCTAGTATCTATAAACAAGCACTGCTCACCATGAGACTAGATGGCGCTGTGTTCATTGTCCAATGTTATTTATTTAATATTATTTAAAAAATGTAACTGAAAAAGCCTCTTAACCTATAATTTCTCTGTCTCTACAACCGAAAGGCAGCTTCTTTACATACTATAAAAAAAAGTCGCTGTCGCTGTCTGACCCTATGTATGCTTAAATCTACATAATTACGACTACATAATTGTAAACTGTAAATGAATCAATAAATATAAATATATGCAAAGAATTAATGTCATATCACTACATAGTATAAAATAAAGTCGCTGTCGCTGTCTGTCCCTATGTATCCTAAAATCTTTAATACACAACGGATTTTGAAGCGGTTCTTTTTAAAAGATAGAGTGATTCAAGAGGAAGGTTTATATGTAAAATACATGGATAATATTGTAGAGAAACACTGATAAATTTAGGTAATTAGATATATTTAGTTTTACCCGTGCGAAGCCGGGGCGAGACGCTAGTACAATATAAATTGCTTGGCGATTGAAACTGAGACTAACATACCCAACACAAACTATTTTTAATATCCACCGCTCGGGAAACATTACTTTTAAAATATTTCAAGTACCCTGCCTACGACCTAATATAATCATTAATAATAATAAAACAACTACCACTATAGATAACAAAACGAATTGGTTTTTATTATCTCACAGATAATATATTCATTAGTACTACAAGATAGATAAGTATGATAAGATTTCGTGAAATTAATAGTGGTCAGTACAGGATTTAAATGACCATCAGGAAATTAATACTATTTTTATTACATAATAATAATATCTCGGAACAATTCACACAGCGCCATCTAGTTTTTTTTGTATAATTAAAAAAACAGCTATATAAACAAGCATCATGAATACAAGTACAAGTTTGAAACATAGAAAAACAACCATAGATTGTAACTAAGGTCGTTTAAAATATGGCTCGACCAAGTTCTCAAAGAAATTGAGCATAATGTCTTGCTTTACATACAAGAACAGTGAAATATGTACTTTATTCCGCAGTATTAAGAAAAAAAAATATAATAACAGCTTCGGATAAGGATAAAATTAGTTCTATAGATAAGTATATATATACTCTATTTGAAAAAAATGCAATATCTATTATTACAAACTTTCGACCCAGTGAACCGGACCGTTTCAAGAATCGTTTCATAAACATTTCATTACATGGACAGTTTGTGACACACAGCGACATCTAGTTATTTTGTTATGAACTACTTGCTCGGTTACCAAGCGATGAAGTTACAGAGAAATACGCTAGATGGCGTTAAATGTTAAAAACAAAGGAGTGAAGTTACATAGTTGTAGAGTATTATAATTTAAGTAAATAAAAGGGTTATTTATAATATATAGCCTGTATATAGTACAAATTGAAGTAACTTCCGCTGTCTGTTCGCTTAGAACTACGCAACGGATTTTAATGCAGTTTTTAGCCATAGTTAAAAGTTGTTCAAGAGGAAGGTTTATATGTATAACTAGCTACTCGGCCCGGCTTCGCCCGGGTGTACATATATTATATGCATAAATCTTCCTCTAGGATCACTCTATCTATTAAAAAAAACCGCTTCAAAACCCGATACGTAGTTATAAAGATTTAAGCACAGGGACGGACAGACAGCGACAGCGACTTTATTTTATACTATGTAAAATAATACTTTATAATACCTACCTACGCAAACGACTAAACAAGTATGGAGAATTTACTATATCGCGCTTCAACACTGTTGCTAAGTTACAACTTTAAGTAGAAAATAATCCTTTCATTCAGACCGAATCTCTTTTTTGTGTATACATCTATTGTAAATATTATCTGTAGATTTTGCCAACCTGAAGAGGAAAAGCCACTATACATCCTATGTGGTTGTAGCCCACTCATGCACAAACGAAATATCTGCTTTGGAAATTTTACACTCTTTCCCGAGGAGATAAAAACCATCGCTCCTAAGAATATCTTTCAATTCTTGTCCCTGACGGGTCTAGGTAGCGAACTCTGAAAAAGGACGAGCACAATATCTATGTAGGTCGCAGTGCTACAGGTGTGACTTGACAATAGCCTAAACAACCCAATAAAAAAATTACCTATTTTGCTACATTGTCCTTTGGCTAATATTAGAAGTAATTTTGCACGACAACAGTATACATTTTTACTCCTAAGTTATATAATATATTTAACGCAGATTTTAATTGTAAGCATATTACAATAGCTATGAAACTCCACAAAAAATTAAAATATGGCTAGAGAAATTAAATTACAGTGAGACTGAAGCATTAATAAGCAGAGTAGAGCGACACTAAATCAATATACATTTATGTTAGGGTATATATATACATATATATATGTATGAATATGTGTATATATGTAGGATACTACACACTATAACACACACACACGTACACACGCATACACACCCACACACACACACATTGGCTAAATTGTATAAAATATTAGTTAAGTAATGTTTACATATAAATTAATACTGTTATCCTTGCTTTGGGAAGAAACTGACTCCTGATATACAGCTAACGCTAGTTTGGGAGTCGGGACTGCATCAAACTGTACACTGATGAATAAGGTTTAAATAAATAAATTGTTTGCTACACCCTGTGTTTGGGCGTCACAAACTACGCTATAATGTGACACATACCTTATCAGCCTTATCAGTGGGCGGCGAGGCCGGGGGACTGCGTGGCAGCCCGAGGTCTTCGTCATCGTCGCTGCCGTCGCCGCGCCCGCGCCGCCTCACAGCCGCCACCAGCTCCGCCTGGTGATTAAATGCAGAACTATTAGCATAACCAACGAAGAATAAATAGAATATTCTTTATTCAAATAAACTTAAAAATAAGCACTTTTGAACAATCATACTTATTTTTTAAATCTACCGCTCAATCGGAAAACTGTATCTATCTCGTTTTTTTTCTTCGACTGGCAACACCAACGACAGTTGTCTTTATCAGCTGGCCGTAATAAATAAATAATTTTTAATAGTTTATCACACGAATATTATAGTTCCGATATCATTATTAGTGATTTAATAGTGCAATAAGTGTCGATTATTGTTTGTGTACAAATTGGAGGTGTATTATTTGCAAAAATCGACATTAAAAAATAGTGTACCGGCCATCTGTCAAACTTCTTTCGTTGGTAAACAACTAAATATTTAAAACTATTCTATAACTATTTGTTGGAGTTATTCAAAGAATTTCATAATATATACAAGTTTTATACAAAATATTCACATCAAGTTAAATTAATATTAATAATTGTGAAGTTCAGTTGTTGCGTACGTCGAAGGAAAAAAAATACCCACAAAATATATTGTAAGTAATTTTATGTTTTGTATTAATATAATTTGAAGGAAAGGAGCACAATCTAATTCCATTTACTTAATCTTATAAAATATAGGTTGTATATAATATATCTAACAGAAATAATTAAAAATTTTAAGACTTAAAATAAGTAAGGTTCAGTTGCTGTTCTCGTTGTGATACTTTGTTTCTTTTAGAAATAACTCACTTCACTCTCCCTAGTAACTATTCATATATTCAATAATGTCACTATCTACCCGTTCCACAACTGCACGGCAGACAGAGATGAAGCTTAAAGTAGCCCTACAAGAACTTCAGGCATCCAAAGATCTTAGTGACAAGTTGATCAGGAGAGAGAAGAGAGTGAAGATGAAATTTTAAAAATTATAAATAAAAATACACTATTAAAATCTGAACTGTCAGAACTTCATAATAGTCATCAGGAAGTTATTGAGCAGCGGGATCAGCTTCAAGAACTAATAAGTAGCTTTCATCAGTGTAGTGACACCCATGAGCAAGCCTTGAGGCGTATCACTGAATTGGAGCTTGAGTTAAAGCAGGCCTATTCTAAAATTAATGATCTAGACACAAGATTGGAATCTCAGCGAAGTAATGAGATTAGTAATTTATATGAGGAACTTATTAGTGTTGACTGTGTGCCTCCTTCGATTACAGTTCCATACACTCATCCTGTTGTGATTGACCATACTAGTGATACATCTCCTAAATTAGGCAACTATAACAATAACATTTGTATGTTGAGTCATAATAAATTAAAAAAATATTTAAAACTAAAAAAGTTTATTATTAGGACTCGGAATATATTAAATAAGCGTTGTAAAAAGGGTCAGTTATTGAAAAGAAATACTTTAAATAATTTAAAATTGCATGATTATATTAATAAGTGTAATAATAAGTTATTGGAAAGCCAAAAGTTATATGACATTGATACAGACTACCTAACTTCAAAAATCAATAGTTTAGAATCTTCACTTCATGATTTAAATACAAAGTATATTATCTCTCAGAAACAAATCCAGGAGCATATTTTAGCAATGGATGATCTGATTGATGTCAGTAAATACAATGCTGACCGTTTTGAGTCGTTGACTAAGCATTGTACATGTAATCACACAAATATATCAAATAATAATTCAGTTATAACTGTGCTGGAAAATGAAGTTCAGGGTGTTTGTGCCAGTGACTGTAACCCTAAGAGTAGCACAATGGTGTTCTCTGACAGAATAGGCTGTAACTTTGGATCTATTTTGAAGTATCATCTTAAGGGTGATTTATTAAACTACTGTATGCCAGAAGCATCATTTACACAAATAATAAATAAAATTAAATCTATAAAAATGAACAATATGACCACAGACAATATTTTTTGGTAATAGTATTCAATTAAATAGGCAGGATGTAATTAAAGGAATTGAATATTTATTACAATTAAATGTGTATAAGATTGTATTGTGCGCTTTTCCTTACACAAATAGACATCTTCATAAAAAAATTAACAGTAAGGTACATTACCTGAATAACTTATTACATATGTTGACATGTCGTCATAGTGACATTTTTACATTTTTTGATACTAATAGTTTTATTAGTGATTTTTATTTGACAAAAGATACAATGTATCTCTCTAAATCATCTAAAAATAAAATAGCCACTTTAGTGGCTTATAATATTGACTACATGAACAGTTTACATGGTAAACTTAAACATAAAAATACTGACATAACAAATAATTCTATTAATATTTGTGACATAAATACTATGACTGCAGATTTAAACTGCTCACAAAGACAAAGGGAAAGCAATCAGAATTAATAATTGTTCATCAGAACATACATGGTTAATTATACAATTATTTTTAGAAAAGTATAATATTGATACTGTTTCACAGAACATTGGCTTAAAGAGAGCAATATGATGTTCAATTTAAATAATTATAACGTTGTCAGCTGCTTCAATAGAAAGTCAGTTAACAGAGGCGGGTCTATGATAATTGCAAGAAATAATATTAAAGTAAAGGAACGTGCTGACATTGTTAGACTTTCTATTGAGTGTTGTATAGAATTATCTTGTATAGAACTAGAAAATTATATCCTTATATGTGTGTACAGGCCTCCTAATAGTGATTACAATGTTTTTGAAGGGGTGATGGAGGATATTTTAAAAAAAATATTTAATAGTCTTAAAAAAATTATTGTATGTGGAGATTTTAACGTTGATATTCTTTGTAACACACCCACATGTACAAAAATTATTAGTTTATTTCAGTCATTTGATTTAAGTCATGTCTTTCATGAACCCACTCGTGTAACTGCCACGTCTGCTACTTGTCTTGACAATGTTTTTTGTAACTGTGAGTATACAGAAAAATTCATAATAAATAAACTTCCTTCAGATCACTGTGGTCAAGTTGTTAAGTTTAACAGTCAGATCAATAAAGTCAACAATAATAAAAAATCAAAAAGACAAATAAATGTTTACAATATTAACAAATACAAAAGCGCGATTAAAAATAAATTGGATTTGCTGTTACAATATAGTAATAATCCTGATTATCTTTACACCAAGCTAATTACTATTCTATCAGGAGAATATGAACAATTTTTCAAGAAAAAAGAAGTTTATGTTAAATCTAAATTCACGGAATGGGCAACAGTAGGTATACTTAAAAGTAGAAATATTTTGTTTGATTTATACGATCAAAAAAAATATCGATTTGATGACAAATTCACCACTTATGTGAAAAATTATTCAAAAATTTTTAAAAAAGTTTATATTACGGCTAAATCTAATTATATTAATAAACAAATTAACCAGTCTTCTGACAAAATTAAAACCATCTGGGGCATTATAAATAAAGAAACCGGAAGATCTAAATTAGCCTATAATCAATTTGCATTAAATTATGATAATAAATTAATAACAGCAACAAAAGATGTAGTTAATATTTTTGAAGATTTTTTTGCTAATATTCCGATTAATATTACATCTTCTCTGGACTCATCTCCATCTCGAGCAAAAATATTACTAGAGTCTAATATCGGTTGTTGTGCTTTAAGATTTAAATTTTCACATGTTAGCCCCGTTCATATCATAAAAATATTCAAACATCTAAATTTAAAAAATACAGAAGACCTTTGGGGCATGTCTGTAAAAGTAGTTAGTTCTTTCATAGATATTGTTGCTCCATATCTAGCTACTATTTTTAATAAATGTATTGATAATGGGACTTTTCCACAATTAATGAAATTTAGCAAATTAATCCCACTATTTAAATCAGGAGATAAATTTGAGCCAGGGAACTATAGACCTATATCTATTTTGCCAGTTCTAAGTAAGGTGTTTGAAAAGATAATGTTAAATCAAATGTTACAACACTTCAGGGATAACCGACTGCTTCACAGTCAACAATATGGTTTCACCGCCGGCAAGTCTACCACTGACGCAGGTGTAGCGCTGATAACACATATTTTCCAATCATGGGAGAAGTCACAGGATGCACTCGGAGTTTTTTGTGACCTATCAAAGGCATTTGATTGCGTGGATCATAAAACACTTTTGTACAAGCTCGAACATTATGGTATAAAAGATAATGATCTAAAATTAATGAGAACTTATTTAGAGGATAGGGTCCAAACTGTAGATATTGACGGTATAAAATCTAAGGGAGCTAATATTGGAATGGGCGTTCCACAAGGGTCAATCTTAGGCCCCTTTCTCTTTTTAATTTACATAAATGACCTTCCCTTTATGGTAGAGAAAATTGCAGATATAGTGCTGTTTGCGGATGATACTTCGTTAGTGTTTAAAATTGGACGTCAAACTAATCAATTAGACGATGTAAATTGTGCTATGTCTGCTATATTAAATTGGTTTACATGTAATAACCTATTATTAAATTCCAGCAAAACAAAGTGTATAAAATTTACACTTCCTAATGTAAGACCAATAAATACACAGTTATTGCTTAATGACGAAATAGTAAATTTTGTTAATGATACAGTTTTTTTAGGTATAACAGTGGACTCGAAATTACAATGGGGGCCCCATATTTCAAAATTGGCCAATAGACTCAGTTCAGCTGCATATGCAATTAGAAGAATTAGGCAATTAACAGACGTGGCGACGGCTAAACTTGTATACTTTAGTTATTTCCATAGCATTATGTCATATGGTATACTACTATGGGGTAAGGCAGCCGATATAAATACTATATTTATTTTACAAAAGAGAGCCATACGTTCTATTTATGGTATGGGTTCGAGAGAGTCATTACGTCAGTGTTTTAAAGATTCAAATATCCTCACCGTTACTTCACAATACATTTATGAGAATATCATGTATACACGGAAGAATTTAGACAGTTTTAGAAAACTTAAAGACTGTACAAATAGAAGCTTACGCAATAAAAATAAGCTAATTTTACCTAAATGCCGCC